AGAGTGGGTGTGAGGCAATTTTATTGCAAGCAGCAAAACGACACCAGTCATGTTGGTGTAATAATCAGCCATAAGAGGCCTATTCGCCAAAGTGATGTCTAAGACCATTCATGGAATTAAGAAATATTGGTTTCAACATCTAGCATGGTAGGATGCAAACAAAACAAACACTTCAGTTTTTGTCATTTGAGATTTTGAGCCATGCTGCTTCTGATATGCTGGATATTTTGTAAACCTTTTTGTGTATGATTGCGTGTTCCTGCATGTGAATTCCTGTGTTTAGGTTTCTGTCATGTCTGTCAGTTAGAGAGAGAGCTGTTATAGCTGTATCAGGTGAGCAATTCAGAGAGTGAGAAAGGCGGCCCATCATCCACGTGACAGTGTAAACCTGCCAGTGTAAACCGTTAGCCCTGGTGCAGGAGACCAGTCTGTCTAACCCATAGCCCCAACTTCTGAGACATGGAGAGAGGCCCTATGAATACTGCATGATGGAGCTTTTATTACAGAACAAGCTGGAGTGTAAATAAGATCCAGGCAATGGGGCACGTTTACCGGGGTCAGATCAGGGGGGACGTGGCGGCGGCGGCTATGTAACCTTGTCCCCATGTCTCCTGCTGTCACAAGCCTGTCACTGTAACTCATACAGGGATGCTTGGCCCTGAGGTGGTCAGGGACAGTCTAAGAATAAAGGTTTTAATGAGGAAGTAGTCACACCAGATCTCCAACCCTAAAACAAGCCTGAACTTAAAATACATTTATTTAAACATTTGGATTTCCTAACTTTTGTGTATTTTAGACATGGGGTTGTTGATGTGTTTACAGCTTGATTGTTAGTATAAAGAAATGAATTGTTACTTGCAAACATCTAGTAATATTCAGCCTTTTGTGCTTAAAGTTATATTATGGGGATATTGCCCTTCAATTTTATGTAAAGCATATTTAAGTAATGTATATGGATGACTTTATTGTCTCAGTTTACCTCTGCCCAAAATGAATCACAGAAATAAGAAAAGAAAAACATCATTAGGTTTAATTAACAGGTGTGAGACTTTGCATGAAGCCACATACACAAGAACTTGGTGTACACAATCAGATGATATTTGTGAACATAGTATCCCACAAACACAAAGGTGTTTCTTATGTGTAAGGAAATGTTAGGTGCATTCAACCACAGGCTGATATGTCTTTCAGCTTGTCTGGACTTCTCATTACATGGTGTTTCGCATGGCAAAGACTTGGTTTAATCTCTTTTCAGGCTGCTGTACATGTGCAACCTGCCCAGGCAGTATTTAACATCTACCCCTGCGATCTTGCTCCAATTAACATTTTCATCTTAATTAAGAGGCAGCAGTCATGCTTAACTGATATTGATTGTAGCTTAAAGGAAGACCGAGACATCAGAATGGAAACAAGGCCATCAGCCTTATGTGCAAAGAGCTCTTTTCCAGGAAAGATGACACTTTTTAGTAACACAAAAAGGAAAAAAGAAATAATGTCGTCCACTTAAGTCAGAGGATTTAGGGGTTGTTCTCATAACTAAAATCTAGTTTGTTTATCTTTTGGAGTGGTGGTTGGCAAAGCTTGTCATATGGCTTGAAACTAAGTGACATTTTGTAGATGCAGACATCCTTTCTACTTCAACAACTGTGACCCTACTACATGTGCAAAATGAAAAAAACAATGTAAATAGTTATTTACTGCCACAAGCAGTAAAATAAATGAATTGCTTAATATGATTACTGCCAATTCTGTGGACAGCTTGAAATGTAATTGTCCTGCTAAAGTTATTTTGTTCTTGTAACAATCTCCAAAAAGCCTGTGGTTTGTTTTTGACTTCCACTGACATAAGACTTTTATCAAAGAGGTGTAATGTACAGCTCACATAACGCATGCCATAACAACATTCAGAAGCCATTGTTTGTTCTAACTGTGGGTAAATACCTGACATGGCACTGATAGATGTCATTAATTAAAGGGCCAGAGCAGTTTAGAGGTGTCTGGCTAAAGAGCAATGTGAAACTCCAATCTAAGACGCATTAATCACACCTTGCACCACACACATTCTTTCTGAAACACCCACTGACAGCTGAGTAGCCAGGTATCACATTTACCACGCCTGCTTGCAAGCTCACCCTTCTGTGTGACGTACGTTGCCCCCACCTCATCCCCATCACCTGACAGCTGTTGGAAAGTCCTTGAGTATTTTATAGTGAGAGGTCCTAAGGTATTGTCACTGGTGCCGTAAACTAACCTTCCAGGCCTGTAACTAAAGCCAGTGTTTGGCGTTAAGGACTTGGATAATTAAATCATTATGGGAACAGTCTGACTGCTGCTTCACTTGCAATTCAAAACTCTGTCTAGAACAGCTAGTGACAGGGCTGGCTTAATCTGGTTTTGGGTGATAGCCTCAGACCTTTAAAAACAAAAGACATTTTGTCATGCTTATTAAGACTCCACTGTTGCTCACAAACTCACAGGACAATGGAGCTTTTTGTTGTTGTTGTTTTTTTACATTGTCATTCCCGTCCTTTTATTGTCCGTCACTTGAACATTTTTAACAGTTCCTGCATTCCAGTTCTTGTCAATGTTACATTTTTTATTTCCTATTTTTCTGTTTTTATTTTATCTTGATAGTACAGTTGCATTACGCTTCTGTTCAACACATTCCATCTCATGTTCACTTCTGTTGAATCCCTCATGTCACATGCTGATGATCTTCAGCCAGGTCTGAGCGATGTACAGGTCAGCATTCACTTTTGTTTAGCTTTGACCTAGTGAACGTGTGTGGTCGGCCAAGATAAGCACTGATGCTCTGTGTTTGAAGGCTGAAGTTATTTTTCTACCGAGTTATATTAACAAAATTTAGTACGTTATTGTGCTACCAGACTACAAAGTGAAGCATCAGTCTCATGCATTGTTTACACTTTGTGATTGCTCTGTTTATTAACCGCATCAGAACAGTGACATTACATCTTTTTAAGGGAAGAAAGTAGAAACAATACCTGTAGACTAAGTTTGGAAGTTAAAACACAAAAACTCAGGTTACCATTTAAATAAACTCGGGCAGCTGCTCTCTTCAACTTCATGTTGTCTTCTGTTTCGTCCCTCTAGAGCGTACCATGCTCTTGGCAAGCGGGTTTTAGCTGTCAAGGTGAGAGCTCCTTCCATGTGATAGTACTTTCTCTACTTTTTATTAAGTGACCATCAAACTTGACCACCACATAAGAACATCAACAGAACTTATTAATGTTGTATTTATTAAATACTGACCCCCCCCCCATGTTTGATTACAGGTTATTCCCCTAGATATCACAGTGGAACTACAGAAGCAGATCATGTCAGAATTAGAAATTCTCTACAAGGTTAGTTTTGACTAATTTCATATATTCTGCTCTTTACCAAGGCACTATTTTTTTCTCCACTGATAGTTGCTCTAGATCTACATTGTTAATTAACCACGAGTCTAATGAAGTGCCATTTATCACCTCTAGTCTTAAAATGTTAGTCACACATGGATTAGACATGCGAGTTGACTGAATACTGTCTGTGACTTTCCTTCCATTTGTAGGAGGTGGTTTTTTAATATTCTCTACACTTTAGTTTGCTGTTGCCCTTTTCCAAATCCTGATCACAGAATAATTTTTTGCTCAAATTCATGCTAAGAAATAAAAAAAATGCATATATTTGTATAACCGATAAATATTTTGGGATGCACTTTAATGATCGCATTGTCTCTCTTTTTGACTGCAGTGTGATTCACCCTACATCATCACATTCTTCAGTGCCTTTTTTGTTGAGAACAGGATATCCATATGCACAGAATTTATGGACGGTAAGTTTCTCTGTGGTTCCAGCCAGTACATCATGTGTGGTCTTTTGCAAGCCACAGCTGTTTAGAAGAGATTTTGTGGAACTGTTCTTCTGTGTATCCATTTACACGTCTGCAGATAAAGAGAGCATCTTATCAGTGTGAGCTGCTTAGCCTGCCTGTGTGCTAAAAGCTACAAGGGCGTGACAGATCTTGACTTAAGTGCATTTTGTAGGTGTGTTAATATGTGTGTGGCTAGATCGGTGTGAGATGGGGGCTGTATGTTTTAAGTGTGTGCATTTGTCAAAGTGTGTGTTAATGCAGTGATTCACCTGTTTCACACATTTGCCAGCTTGCCAGAAGCCTCTGTAACCTCAGATCACACTCGTAGTTTATCAACCTTTTCAGTCATCAGTCATTTCCAGTTCTACGTGATTGTTACAGACTAGAAATTACAGTGTTATGAAAATTTAACCTTCAGTTAAAGTGTCAGCAAGTGGAATATTACCAGTGACTATACTGAATTCATTTACGAGTATAATAGTTCTCCTGCAGTCAGTAGTGCTTGCCTTTATTTTAATTTTCATTTGTGTACATTTCCAGTGTAATTTGATCACAGGTTATTTCCTGGCAAGGATGCAAGTTTGGGCTACAGTGCATAGTGGGAAATGCTGGATGAAAGCCACAATTTGTCAGTTGTTTAGATAAGCATGGTGTGTTACAACCTGCATGTGTTACAACCTGTAACACAACCTGGCTTTTTCTTGTGGATAAAAGGCCATTAGGAGATCAGTTAATAAACTGTACAGTATGTGTCATACTATGGATACAAATCATGTCTCTTATAAGATTATTCCGGTCAACTGAGCATGTTACAAGACCCTTATAACGGCTCTGAGGACCGAGGACATTGCTGGAGGAGCCATCAGCGAGGACACATGAGACCATCCTTCTCTGAAGTTTTATGTGAACTGACATCCCTTTATCAGAAATCTGTTGGTGATTAGACACTTCAGATGAAGGATCTGAGAAAAGGACATCTCGTGTCTTTAATAATGTGTTTCCTTGTATCTTAACGTGGGCAGGACTATGACACAGGAAAACACGCAAGTGAGGGAAGCAATGGTGCTTACAAGAGACTTTGGATGTACCCTATCAATGCCTGAATGAATAATCTGTCTTTTGCAGGTGGTTCTTTGGATGTGTACAAAAGAATTCACGAGCCTGTGCTGGGGAGGATTGCAGTGGCAGTAAGTTCTGATAATCACTTAAGTCTCCCAAAGAGTAGTTTTCATTACTGAGTGAAAAACCTTTTGGAAGAGGTGTGTTCTGGACTTTTTATGAAACATTGAAGTAGCCTATGCAATATGTTAGAGAATTAGTGTCCAAACTCACTTAATTTATTAATGAAATAAAAGAATAGAGGGCCCACAGGTGTGAATATTTCAATTAGTCTGGATTTGGTGAAGTGTTGTTTACCCTGTATCCTCCCCATTCTTACTTTCTCCCTCATCTTCTACTCTCATTTAAAACTAGCATTTTAAAGAAATGGCCTTGATGTGGATAAATGACTGACTCTTTTTCACACTTATTACCCTTCTTCTGTTTCTACCTCCTCTTTTCTGTCTCCCCCCCTTTAACTTTATCCATAATCAAACAATGACAGCTATTTAGTCAGTGTTAATTCTAATTCACAGCTTTTCCTCCTTTCAGCTGTCACGGTTGTTAATTATCACGTAAGGATAAGCACCTAAGATGGTGTGAGTAAAACTGCATACACCAGTTGTTGCACTTGCACCTTCTGAAGCAGAAGGACTTCAGAGAGCTTTTGTTCTTTCTCAATTTATCCCAGTGGTTCACATCCTCTAAATGAAACATCACCACAAAATATTATTACACATTGTAAGATCAGTAATACTTAAACTGAAATGTAATTTACGTCTGTCATATGAATCTGACCAGGCAGGTGGAGTCCTATACAGTTAGTGCAGCAAACGGGGCATTTGAGAAGGCTGCACAAAGGCAGAAAACATGCCAGAGTGCCAAATATTTCTCTTACCGTGGTGTGTCCTCCCAATCAGTTGTACATGTAACTAACACCTCCAAGGTGAGGCAACAAAGAGGCGTCCTTACTGCCTGTCCTAACAACATCTGTGAATGTCTTTCAGTGCAAAGGCTCTCAGTACTGAGGTCATCCCCCGATTACTTATCTCCTCGCTTGATCTCCTCTTGTAGAGTCACATTTTCTTGGATGCTTGTATATGCAGTGTTGTTATAAGCCACTGTCCAAAGCTTGTGACTATAGCTGAGGACTGGAATAAAGACTGCAAGACAAATTCAGTGTCTTAATATGTGTCTGCAATGTGTGAAATTGACCTTTATTGTCCAGAATGCCACCACAGCTCTCGCTCCATAGTCAGCTCTGTCATAGCATAGTCCTCCGGCAACAGGACCCTTTAAAGCCTTTTTACAGATCTAAAAAGCACAAGTAGAACAAAGTAGAATGTGGATACCTGAACTGAGCCCAGCAGGACCCTTTGGTACCCAAGGATTTGGGCCAGGTTCAGACAAAAATGTAGAAATTACATTCAGGTCCCAGTCGGGTTTGGACATGTGGGTCAAATTTTACGCTAGATGGATGGAGCGCTCAAATTTCTACTTTGTTTAATGATAAGGGGGAAGACACTGTACAACCTCAACTGTGTGGGACTTTGGTCGGGTTCAGACAGAAATATGTGACCCGATCCATGCTCTAGAACAGAGTAGCAAGTTTTTTATGGCATCTCAGTTATGTGCCTTTAAGACAAGAGCGTTTCCAGCACCACTCTAAATTTATTGCAAAAGGATGCAGAGTTACCCAGAATGAGCAAAGGGCAGTTGAAAGGTGACTAAGAAGCACCTTCCTTATGAGTCTGATTGTGGACACCGATTATCACCTAGATAAAACTCTGCAGTGTTGTCAAAATACCTGTTTGTGGACGGGGCACTGACAATACAGACTACAGTTTCATTTGTCTATCTAATCTAATTCTAAATTAAGGTCATGGCTGTTTATGTTCAGTATAATTGAACTGTCTTACAAAGTAGGGGCAAGTGGAGTGAAGATAACCACTGCACATTAACCAAGTTAATTAATTATTCAGCCAAGTGTGTTAGTTAAATGTTGATTGTTGTCGAAATTAATATATTTTTTTCTGACTGCGTGTCTAGGTAGTTAAAGGCCTGACATATTTGTGGAGCCTGAAGATACTTCACAGAGGTGAGTAAGGTATTATCTGGGCTGTGTGTTTATTAAAAAAAAAGAGCAGGATTGATAAAGACAAGCTGCAGAGTGCTGATGTTGCAGTTTTATCAAGCAGTCTGTCTCCACAGATGTCAAGCCTTCCAATATGCTGGTGAACACCCGAGGACAAGTCAAGCTCTGTGACTTTGGTGTCAGCACACAGGTGCGCTAATTTGTTTGCGAGAGCATGAGAGAGTGTGAAAGAGAGAGGCTGGAAGATGAAAAAGAGAAGAAGAAAAACAGTTGTAAGCTGCGTCACCACAGCCCTGTGCAATTTGTGTATGAGCGTGCACAGTTGTGTGTGCATATGGTCAACCTGTCAATCACTACATTCATTTTCAACTCAAACATCAGTGCTATCCCAAGGGTCTTCTGCTCACATTAACAGCCCCTCCCCACACACACACACCTGCATTGTTCTGCGGCCTTCAGAAATATCACTTGTTATAATTATGACCCCCACACACACAACGGCAAAGCCTCGTTGATATGTATTCAGTAGATGTGGGGAAGGCGTGGGTGGCAGACAATAGCCTATGTGTGTGGTAGTGTGTGTGTTTGTAGAGTAATCATCAGGGACAGACCTTCAGTATTCCCCAGAACATCACCCCCGAGGACTCTCTCTCTTTTCAACACATACACACACCCATCACTCTGTCTGGGGCAAATTCTTATTCGTTTTGAACCCCCACATCTTTGAAAGCTCCAAGGTGAATTTCACATTCTGTATGTGTAACACTAGCAGCATTGATTTGTCTTCTGTCTGTTTTAACTCAATTTTTTGTTTAGTCTTCTTTCACATATACCAACTCCCTCCAATACTCATACTCTGTTGGGCATTCTTGAAAAAAAAAATTCATAAGGGACCAGGCACTCATTATCACAGTCCTGTCATTGATGGCACATGCCACTGTATACACACACACACACACACAGACTCACTAATGTCTCCTTGTCTTGCTTCTGTTCCCTTGTACAACGGTTGAGAACAGCCCAAAATATCAATGTGTCATGTCAATAGATTTAGGGAGTGTATATTAGGTCCAGCTCCCATCCGTTTTTATTCTATATTTAGGACAGTGAAGTACTGACTTAAAAGTTGTTTAAAAGGGTTAAGGTTACTTACTGTCGTCTCTTGAAATTTGTCTGAATTCATATTTGTATGCAGCATAATTATTTGGTCAACCACTGTTAATTAATTTTCATTTGCAGTTGGTGAATTCTATTGCCAAAACTTATGTGGGGACTAACGCATACATGGCAGTGAGTGGCCCCTTTGTTTCAGTCTCATCCTAATTAAATTTAAAGTTGTATTTCTGAAGATTAGGAGTCAGAACCTAACACTATCCTTACAGTTTTTGATGTTTGTTTTTGCCCCACAGCCAGAAAGGATATCAGGAGAACAGTATGGTATCCATGCAGATGTCTGGAGTGTGGGAATCTCTTTCATGGAGGTATGATGATGATGGTGTCATGCTATACCTGGGATCTGTACAGAGAGCAAAGTGTGGTGAACACACTAAAGTCTAGCAGAAGTGGCTCATTTGCATTTTCTGTATTTACACAGTAAAGTAGCATACAGATCTAGTACATTGTACTGTATGTCTTTAGAGTGTCTGCTGTTCATTAACTGAGTACCAACTGTGCTCCATCACGTGTCCATGTGCATCAGTATCTGCGTTAATCTCTTTCCATAGTGTTGATTGAATGCTTGACTGCCACCATGTGTTTTCAAATTACACTTTAATTTCACTATACACTTCCCTGGTCTGTTGTCCTCCTACTGACAATATTGATTTTCCATTCTGTCCACAGCTGCTCTTTAACATTTGATCTCGACTTTTGTCTCAGCTTTGTTTGTCAATAATGCTTAATATCATTACAATTATAATGGATGAGTTCACCCTGAAGAATCTATGTCAAAATTATTGAGTTGATCCCTGTGTGATAAAGAGCAGTGGATGCTGCAGCCCTGGTCTCTCTAATTCTAGCGGCGGGTATGTGCATTAAGCTAAGTAAAATGGATTGCCCACTCAGTGTTGATTGATATTTAGCCTCCTATTTGTGTCCAAGGAAAGACTGTGAATGTTTTGACATTTTAATAATGTTATGTTGCCAATAAGCTGCCTGTGACCAAGATGAAAAATGACTACCCCAAGTGGATTGCCAAATGTCAGGCAGAGCTGTCGACCAAACACCCCAGTCAAAATAAGACTCATACACTCATTACCTACATCCATCCTACAATCCTATCCTTCTCTTCTTCATCGCTTTAATGTGTTCTCTACAGGAGGTAATCTTTGGGGGGTGGTATTAGTGGATGTTGTTTGATGAGGGAGTGTTATCAGCAGTTGGGCACTAAGCTTACCTCAAAGACTGAAAGCCTGAAGTGCCTCCTGCTTTAGCAGCATATTCCTTGAGTCTCTTACACTTGAATTCCATGACATGACAACACTGGCAATGGAAAGGCATGTACACATAAATGCACGTACATGTATACTGTATACAAGGGATGGATACATTACTATAAGCTCCTGTGTAAGAAACACACAGGAACTCTGCCTTTTATTGTCAGCTCTGAGCTCCATTATGTTGTTATCATGGAGTACATTATAATGTAAAGGATACACACTGATCGGCCACAACATTAAAACCACTGGTACAAGAAGTGAAAACATTGATTATCTCATTACAGTAACAGCTGTTAAGGGGTGGGATATATTAGGCAGCCAGTGAATGGGCAGTTGTTGAAGTTGATGTGTTGGAAGTGGGAAAAATGGACAAGTGCAAGGATGTGAGTGACTTTGACAAGAGCCAAACTGGAAGAATTGACGTGGTCTGATGAATCACATTTTCTTTTACATTATATGGACGGCCACGTACATGTGTGTTGATTAAGATTTAATGTTGTGGCTAATCGGTGTATACTGTACATGTGTACACACACACACACACACACACACACACACAGTATCTGCTGGGTGGGTGGTTGAAATATTTGGCTTAGTAAAAATACAATGGTATTAAATTTCACCTTGCAAGGTGTCCAAATACAGTATAAGCTCTTTGGTTGGATTTCAGTAGTTTGTACAGATGTCCCTCAAATTTGCCATCAGCACTGCATCTCAAGAAAATCTGAGAATATACTAGGCACTTATTATGACTTTCTTCTTTACACAGTTGGCGCTAGGTATGTTCCCCTATCCGCAGGTGAGTTGTTTTGTTGATTTTATTTGTATTTTGACTGATTTATTTAATTAATTTTCTTTCTTTCTTTTTTTTTTATTGATTTCCACCTAAAATAAGAGTTAAAATGTCAGAATATACTTCTTTGTCATCCATAATATTTTCTAGATTAGTTGTTTGGTATTGATACACAACTTTAAATGTATAGAGTCATGGCAAAAAAAACACTGGCACCCCTGCATTTCTGTCAGATAACTCACCCCTTCTCCCAGATAATTGTTGCAATTACAAATTCTTTGATAATCTTTTGTTTGCATTGGAACAATACAAAAAAGCTAAATCTGATCCATTCCACACAGAACTCCAAAAATGGACTTGACAGAGTTACTGACACCTTTTCAAAATCATTAGAAATAGTTGTTTCAACTTGTGATGCTCCTTTAATTTGTAATGACTCTCACCTTAGGCAACCAACAGGTGCTGGAAATATAGAAATCACACTTGCAGCCAGTTAAAATGGATAAAAGTTGACTGAGCCTTTTTGTTGTGTGGACCACACTGAGCATGGAGAAGAAGAGCAAAGACGTGTCTGAGGATTTGAGAACCACAATAGTGGAAAAGCCTGGACAATCTCAAGGCTCCAAGTCCATCTCCCGAGACTGCCAACATAGTCAAGATGTTTACAGCCAATGACCCTGTAGTTAATCTCCCTGGATGTGGGCAAAAGAGAAAAACAGATGACAGATTGCAGCAAAGGATTGTTTGAATGGTGGATAAAGAACCTCGATCAACTTCTGAACAAATTCAAGCCGCCCTGCAGGCACAGGGTGCAACGGTTTCAGCTCGCACTATCTGTCACAATCTGAATGAGCAGTCCAAAATCCCAGTAGTGAAGTGTAAGAAACTCACAGATGGCCACAGGAAGTGATTTCAGTTATTTTGTCCAAAGGGTGTGCTACCATGTATTAAGTTGAGGGGAATTCTGTCCAGACCATTTTTGGAGTTCTGTGTGGAAAGTATCATATTTGACTTCTTTCTCATCTTTTTTGTGTTCTTTCGATGTAAACAAAAAAAAAATAAACATGACAATACCAAGTTTCAATGTAAACAAAAGAAATAAACATGACAATACCAAAGAATTTGTGATTGCAACAGTTTTCTGGGAGACGTGGTGCGTTATCTGATAGAAATACAGGGCTGCCAGTATTTTTGGCCATGGCTCTGAATGTAGCGTTCAGGTCAGTTTGTGTCTCTCATCACTTTAAGTTTAAATCCTGCTCAAATGTAATTGTTGACAACAGAAATTACTTACCAATCCCATCAAGTCCCAATTAGCCCTTTAAGATGGGCTTATCTCGCTAATCCCCATCTGAGCAAGTTGAATCTGGTTACCTTCTGGCCACACACCTTCACAAATCGTGAAGGGACAGGCTTTATCTAATGAAGTTTGTTCTTAAAACTGCATTGTGCTTGTTTAAAAGTTATGCTGCATATTGGTGCATTTGATCATTTTCCTGCAGGCATAATGTATGCAACACTTGGCTCGGTCAGTTAAATTAAACTTCACTGTGGTTGATTAGAGAAGCAGAGTGTGATGTAGCCCCCTGCACTATCAGCCCAGGCATTGCCTAAGTGACTGCTTCCTTTCAGTACACCAGTTATCCTCCCTGGGAAGAAGGGAGCCACTTTAGGAAATGTTGGATTTGAATGCCATGATTAAAATCTGGTTACCTCAGTTTACCTTTGTTGGCGTTTAGATCTTATTAATGTTATCTATCATGCTCTGGGGGGAAAACCTCAGTGTGTTTTTACTAAAATTAATTCAGCACCTGGGTGCGTACTTCTGTGATCAACAGTCATCTGCGAGACAGATTAGTTATGATGTAGCTGTTCCCTTATTGTCTGTGTTGATCATTAATTATTAAGCATTTGATGAAAAACCAGTACAATCCTTTGTGCAAAGGTGTGTTTATGTAGCACTTAAATTGTTTAGAGATGTAGATGACACGCAATGATCAGTGTGTGTGTCCGCATGTGTGTGGAGTGTGTGCATGACTACAGCCTAGGACATGGTGTTCCCTCCTTCAATTAATATCATGATCATGTAAATTCTTAGTGTATTTTTGAAAATAAATGCTAATTTAGTCCACCCAAATTGATACAAATAGAGTGGACAAAATATTAGAAACACCACTCAGTTTATAGTTTTGCCTCTCTGCTGTCGCATAGCTTTCCTCATCTCAGTGTTAATTTTCCCCTAACTCCATATGGTACTGCAGACAGTTCACCTGCAGGCTGTAACAGAGTGGTGTGGCAAGAGTGCTCGGATCCAGCTCGTCAGGCGCAGCCAGCCAAAGTCCTCGGGCCTAAGCTGTCATTTTTGCAGACGCTGGCACAGCTGTTTGTGCAAAGCCCCCTGCTACACTTCAAAAAGAACATTTTAGTACACACTGAGGGAGAAGATGGATAAGATGAGAAAGACTGGAAAAGAATCGGTACCATCTGAGTTTCTGCTATTGGAAGATACAGGAAGAGTTGTTCAAGTTAAAGTTAAATTTGGTTTTGGGATGTTCATTTTGTGCACTTTGAGAAGCCAATTTTAGCTTTGTACAGGGTCTTTAGTTCACATTTTACGTCCTGAGGAAGCATGTTTGCCTGCCAATTGCTTTCGTTTGGGGATAGATCATTTCTCATTCATTCTTTTGTGTGTGTGTGTGTGTGTGTGTGTGTACATGTGCACAGTGGAGTCATCACCTCATGTTTGTCATGATTAGAGATGGTCTCTTTAATTCCACTTCACCACATGTTGGGATTCATTTGCATTCTTTGTCAGGAGTTAATGGAGTTTTTGCACGGCTCGCTCTGAAAGTCTTTGAAGACACCAGACCTGATGTGATGTGTATACAGCCGCCAGCACTGTTTCTTCTGATTGATTTGTTGTCGTTTTGTTTGCTCCACGGATGTTTTGTTTTTCTCCATTTTGTCATATTATCTCAAATTTGAATGAATTTTTGGATGAAATACCATGTCAGTTTTTTGAGTATGTCTCAGGAGCTTCGATTACACATCACTGCATCCATCAAACAGCTACAAGCTTTCCCTTTATTACTAAGTTTTTTCCCCTCAAAATAAATGCGAAGGAATGTTATCATAGTACTGTAGACTGTGTGTTTGCAGTAAATCTTCTGCACCATATGCCAACTCCAAAATCTCTTACCTTGATCACATCCTTCTTTAAGAAACTGGTTAAAATATTATTCATGAGATGAGTCTTCCATTGTAGTCTTAGATTACTTAACAAATTAATGATGTCAAGATAATATTGACCCTTTCTTTCAGTATTGAGTATGTAATGCTACACTCCATCTGTCACTGTTTATCACCATGCTAATTATTGTCACCAAACCATATTAGAACAATGCACCCTGTCTGCACAGCTTTGTATTTGTTTTTTGTAATGCAGCCCATTAATGATAAAAGATTTTACTTCATAGGGCTCATCACTCATGGAACAGGTGATGCAAGTCTAAATTTACCAGTATTGAAGCTCTTGCCACTGAATAAAAGGTTTCCACTTTGCAGGAGATCAGAGAAGAATGACAGTCATCAGATGATTTTTAACATCCTATAATTTCAGGGAAGCAAACCTCAGACCAAAATACTTAGTTGTTGACCTAACAATAAAGAAAAGAACTGAGAAAATGACCTCTCACCATTTTCTCTCTTCTTGAAATCCATAGGGAGGGAAAAAGCCATCTGATCTTTGAGAAGTGTTTATTGAGTTCCACTTGAAAGGATCAGAAATCATTTGATATCTTAAAAAAGGGGATTTTCAGACTTATTTTTACGCTGAGTCCCGCTATACTTTCAAATAATGAAAAAAGCTTGATGTGGCTCACAAATTGTCACAGAGCTATTAGTGGCCAGTAACAGTGGTCTGCCTCAGAGGAACAAGAATTTGGTGTTCTACATTTATTTACACTGTCAGCTAGTGAACATAGGGGTGACTGGGTTGTTTATTCACTGGATCAGACACTTTCTAGTTGATCATCTACAGAAAGTCTGCGTTAATGACTTTCATTCTTATGAGATCATTGTTATCACAGGGGGCCCTCAGGTGTGTTTTATCACTATAATTTTCTGTTTACATAAATGACATGAAGCTGCTTGACAGAAATGTTAAACTGTTCAAATGTTCTCATATAACTATAGATGGTCATTGTTATAAGAATAACTGCTGTGACTATTTTGCCCAGGTACATGAGGTGGAAGAATTATGTAACTCTTGTTCCTTGCTAAGTTCCTTGTGAACAAAACAAAGGAGCTTTTTTAAACCATATAAGACCAGTAACATGTCTTTACTGTCTTATCACTGTGTGAAAGTTAACAGTTACAGGTATCTGAGAACATACACCGAGAAATTGAATTTCAGAGATGTTTGTTTTAGTTATAAGAAGAGG